CTTTCCTTAGAGCCTAGTCATTACCATTATCAGAGTTGTTTCTTTTTGTTTGCATTTTGACTACTTGTGTTGTGGTTATTGCAAACATGATGCCTTGCATAAAGGTGTCAGTTTTGTACCAGTTTAAAGGGTAAAAACCTACTACTATATTTTGCCACTGGTAAAGGAGGTCTCATAGTGGAAAACTTATTCTCAATTATTGCTCTTGTTCTTTGACACTTTTACCGAAAACAAATCTCACGGTGGTTTTCAAGAGGGCCCAAACTCGTAGCTTTGGCCACCAAGTAGGCGGGAGGGGCAAGGCCACCCCGCCCCCCTCCTGCCCCCCACGCAAGACACGCTTACTGGCATCCCGTGAATCTCCGGCAACCAAGTGACCCGGCGAGAGCGACCGATAACTGTCCGTGCGACGTTGCCGGCAACTACGCCGTTGCACAAAACTGTGAGCCGCGGTCAGAAGGCTCGCGACGTCCGTCCGTTTCGATCGGTTAGTTCATTGCATCCTGCAAGCGTCGCAGCTGCGGTTGAGCGGAGCCGTAATATTCGCCACACTCAGCTCGCAACTTGGCAATCTTTATTTCGATTTCCGGCCACGGCCAAATATCAGCAGCAGCGACGAATGATTCATGAATTGATTCCGGGTCTCCCCCCCCGCCACCACCACAACTCGCCCCGGCCCCCCACCCCATTGCCAAACCGCGCTGACCGGCATGGTGAAGTATGGTTAAACAATTCCCATGATCAACACAATATGGGGAGGTTTCTGGGTAGACTGAGCAGCAAGGGAGTGCTCACGCGCGCACCGTCCTGTGAGCCCACAGACGTCTATCTGTACGTATGAGTGTGCGTGTTGTGTTCGGTCGGACAGAGGGGGCTAAACGGGTGCGGCACGGGCTCGAGAAGAGATGGAGTGATGTGGTACAGGAGGGCGTGGAGCTGAGTGGACTTGCCGATGGCTGGTACCAGCGGTGTCAAAATCGGCCTCTGTGGAGGAAGCTTGTGGAAGGACGCGACTGGGCAGTTGGAGGCAGTCGCCTCTGATCTCTCGTCTCTGATTTCTCATCTCTGATCTCTCGTCTCTGATCTGTCGCCTCTGATCTCTCGCCTCTGATCTCTCATCTCTGATTTCTCGTCTCTGATCTCTCGCCTCTGATCTCTCATCTCTGATTTCTCGTCTCTGATCTCTCATCTCTGATCTGTCATCTCTGATTTCTCGCCTCTGATCTCTCGCCTCCGCGCCGGCTCTCAACTCAGGTTTCCATTGAATTCACGATTATTTTGCCCGTCCTCGGACGGAAGCTGTAATAGTTATGAATTTTTTTAGCAGAGTTTTATTGTATCTTGTGTAAATGTAATGGCAGTGAATCTTGCACGAAAGTACGTCATCAAACACTTCACTGCAGTTCGCTGTAGCACTGTATTAATGGCAGTGAATCTGCCACAAAACGAAGTCTTAACCACTTCACTGCAGTTCGCTGTATCAATGTATATAAGTGACCTTCAATTTGCTAAAATTCACTGCTCTGATACTTTATTTTCTTCTGCTTTCGGTCGCTGGGGTTGAAATTAATTGGAAACCGATACAATATCTGGAAAGTCACCGAGAAATGTCTATTTTACCATAATGTCGAAGCATAAATGAGACTTATCTTTCGTCTCAAGTGGTGAAGAAAACAAAAAAGACACCAACTCCACTTTGTTGCTGCGTAGAATGATTTATTAGATTAACTTTCCATTAAAAAAAAACGTCAAACTTGAAGCGAATTTGCGAAGCAAAATATTTCAGCTCGACCTTCTTCTGCGTGAGTGTAAAAATCCACCCGCTCATGAATATTAATGACGTGGGGATTCGGCATGTGGACTGACGTCACGCGCTCATGAATATTAATGACGGGGGGTGCGGCATGTGGAGTGACGTCACGCGCGTTACACACAGACAGACATTATTGGCTCATTACAATAGTAATTTGTTTTGGCTGTAACGTTTGAATCCGAACGCCCAATACTTTTATTGCAGTCAACAATGAAAGTGTCAATCGCAAGGACTTCAAACCTAACGCTCAACTTAACATTTCCTCGTATGATAACCTATCGGTTTGTAAAAAAAAGAAAAATTTAAACAGCCGAGACATTTGTTTTGTGCGTCAGTTGCTGCGAATATGAATTTTTTTTATCGATGACAGCCTCCCCCCCCCCCCCACCATGCCACGCACTTAGAAAATGCGCACGCAAGCTCCCAGCGCCTATCGTTATCTCCCCGACTCGAACGCTGCGCACGAAGATAAACAACGGGGATTGGCACGTCGCCCTGTTCCGTTGCGCACACGCGCGCACGCACACAAAGCCAAAGATGCCCCCTATCAGGGGCGGTTTCTTCATTAGGGCGATTGGGCGACGCACCACCAATCTCATTCAACCACCATTACGCTAGGCGTTACTGTGCCTCTGGATATAGTCCAATCAGCGTCATGTCACGTTCTGTGGAGTACCGCCTCTTTTTGGGCGATTTCACTCCGGCTGAGAATCGCCCCGAGTGGCCCCATAGACTTACATTCAAAGATGGTTTTTTTCGAACGGCGGGCGCTGCAATGCATTCTCTATGGCTTCTGGGAGGGCTCGCACTAACGTGCTTACGTCATCATACGTAAGCACGTTTCAGTCAACAATATTATTTGTCGCCACCTAGTGGAATCTTTAATAAAAGAAACTTGAGTGGATTGTAATAATAGTGAGTATAGAAACAAACAAGATGTATTGTTAAGAGTCACTTTATTTTTCATTAATATTAAAGAAGTGAAGTTGCCTTTACATGCTTAAGCTGTTAATTTATCCATTGCATGGGTGGACCTTATCCTTATCAATCATCCAGACATTTGCCCCCCCCTGAGAGATTTTGCAGGAGCCGCCACTGCCCCCTATAGCCTCGAACAGACTGCTGGGGCAAGTGTTGTGAGCGAGTAAGCACCGAAGAATGCCAGACGATGGGGCTGGTTGGCACAGCACCACGCCCGACCGCCTTTGTCTCCCCAGTGGCGATGTTTTCTACACACCGCACCGGGTACTCATTAAAGTCGACCGAGGGGAGGCCCAGGACCGGTTCAGATAATCGCCACTTGGCGTTGGCCGTGAGCGGGAATCAGAACTCGGGTGGCCGGGTTCGTAGCGCAGCGTAGCCGTCCATAAATGACGTCACGCGATTTTGGACGATTTTTTACCCCCCCCCCCTCGTCACACGGCGTCACAAAAAGTCAGACCCCCCCCCCTCAAATATGACGTCACAAAGCTCTGCCCCCCCCCCCAAATAAAACATGCTTCAAATCGCTTTAAACTATTGTCATTGTAGTGCGTATTTAATGTGGTGCTGCACTCTGATGTTGTAGGAGAAAACATAAAAAAGTATATTTAATTAAGTAGAACGTGTTGTCTATATATATTTAAAGTTGCGCATTTTGATGTGACGTCACATTTCTCAAACACCCCCCCCCCCCCCCCGGTCACACATCGTCACAAATGTCTGACCCCCTTCCCCCCTAGATGCGTGACGTCATCTATGGACGGCCCCTAACCGCTGCACCACCGCTCCCCACACACTCGCGCACGTGCGTGACCACGTGGTTGCGTGCCGAGTCTACGCTCGACTGCGTGTGTCTGTGTCTGTCTGTTTGTTGTCACCGCGCGTGCAATGCGATTCGAGTTTCTTTCTGTATCTCTCTCTCATTGTTTAGCACCTTTCTAATTTCACGTTGAGTTTCAGTTGTAATCTTGTGGTGATGATGACGATGACGACGCTTTGAGTGGCAGATTTCTGCCAGAAAGGCGCCACGAGTGTAAACAAAGATAACATTGACTCGACCGAGGGACGCTACGGTGGCTATGAGATGTTAACTACCTCGCCTGGTATGCAGGAGGTCGTGGGTTCGATCCCGACCCTAATACCTGCTGTATATTTGGAGTTTGCGTCTCTCTCTCTCTCATCATCACGGTGGCTAGGATATGTTAACTACCTCGCCTGGTATGCAGGAGGTCGTGAGTTCGATCCCGACCCTATCACCTGCTGTATATTTGGAGTTTGCGTCTCTCTCTCTCTCATCATCATCATCACGATGGCTAGGAGAAGTTAACTACCTCGCCTGGTGTGCAGGAGGTCGTAGGTTCGATCCCGACCCTGACGTCTGCTGTATATTTGGAGTTTGCGTCTCTCTCTCTCATCATCACGGTGGTTGGGAGATGTTAACTACCTCACCTGGTACGCAGGAGGTCGTGGGTTCGATCCCGACCCTGACGCCTGCTGTATAGGTTCCATGTCTCTGTCCCCGTGGTCGCGTGGATTTTTCTCCGGATCTTCCGGTTTTTTTCCTCCACATTTAGAATCAACATCAATCGTGCGTTGAGAGTATTTGGCTGCTATACATTTCTACACGATAAGCCACTTCGTTGAGCTATCATTTGGGGCCAGGTCGCTTCCGAAAAAGAGCTGTACCTTGACACGTGAGGCAAAAGCGCAGCCGTGCAAGTGCTGCCTGCTGGCGGAAGGCCCCTCGCTAGAGGCTAGATCTATGGAGCGAGGATCAAAGACAGTCCTCTTGGGAGGGTATTTTTTGGCCTACTCTTTTCCGCACACGCCAGGCGCCTCGGAAGAGGTGCCGGTGGCCGCAACGCTGCATCCCTCAACGCACCCACCGTGACAATGCCGACGCCGCTGGGTAGACAGAAGCGTTCGTCTCAACTGCCGTGCCAGGAGATCAAAGTGGCCACCTCTCGCTGGCTTGTCCGCATCCGGTCACCGTCCCACCACGGCACCATCTCAATGATGCGCAAAGCGCAGCGAAACTAATAAACGATGGTGACCCCGATGATGATGATGATGATAACCTAAAATGTCAACTTGTTATACATTTTTTTGCAGAGTGAAACGGGCTCGTGTGTGTTGTTGTTGTTGTTTATTAAAAATAAGAAATGTTTTTTTATCAGGAGCAAAATGTGGCACGGATACGATCAGAATGGCGGAAGGAGGCGAGGCAGAATGCAACTGCATGGGAATCGACGTCGCGAGCTTGATATGGATTCCAGACAATGCCGAGTGTGACGAGCATGGAGATCCAGGGGATAGTTCGCGGTGGAACCTGCAACTCGATGGGGGGGAATGCTGGCTGATCATCAAAAACGTGAGAATGAGCGACAGGGGCATGATTATACTGCAACCGGAGGGACGCCAAGTGAAGCTGTTCATCGAACCGGGTGAGTGCTTGCTAAATGTTGAACATCTAAAGACATGAACTACCTCGCCTGGTCTACAGGAGGTCGTGGGTTCGATCTCGACCCTGACGCCTGCTGTATATTTGGAGTGTGCGGTGTCTCTCTCTCTCTCATCATCACGGTGGCTAGGAGATATTAACTACCTCGCCTGGTCTACAGGAGGTCGTGGGTTCGATCTCGACCCTGACGCCTGCTGTATATTTGGAGTGTGCGGTGTCTCTCTCTCTCTCATCATCACGGTGGCTAGGAGATGTTAACTACCTCGCCTGGTCTACAGGAGGTCGTGGGTTCGATCTCGACCCTGATGCCTGCTGTATATTTGGAGTTTGCGTGTCTCTCTCTCTCATCATCACGGTGGCTAGGAGATGTTAACTACCTCGCCTGGTGTACAGGAGGTCGTGGGTTCGATCTCGACCCTGATGCCTGCTGTATATTTGGAGTTTGCGTGTCTCTCTCTCTCATCATCACGGTGGCTAGGAGATGTTAACTACCTCGCCTGGTGTACAGGAGGTCGTGGGTTCGATCTCGACCCTGACGGCTGCTGCGTATTTGGAGTTTGCATGTCTCCCTCGCCGTGGTCGCGTAGATTTTTCTCCGGGTCCACCGATTTTCCCCTCCACATTTGAAGAAATGCGTTTAGAGTATTGAGAGAGAGGAAGTGATGAGATTATTCCGATAATTATCAAGTATTCAATAGCTTATTTACGTAATTATTTAAGATAATTTATCAAATAAAAAAAAGTTTTCCTTTAGCCAATATCATTACCCCGCAAAATTTTCCTTTCACAAGCATCTCCGAAACGTGTCCCCCCGCGATTAACGAGGCAACGCGTGCGGTGCACAATCGCGCAGCCGAGAAAAGCGTCCTTTGTTCCCCCCCCCCCCCCGCCCAAAGTGTGCACAGCGCTCCACATACAGAGTGCGACAGACAACACGACGGACGAAGTACGCCTGACGTGCCGCAGCGGCGGAAAAGTGGCGCCGGAGGAAGGGATTGAGTGGACGTATCAGGGACAGAGACAGGCTTCCGAGGGCAGCACCGTGGTGACGAGTCTGCAGCGCCAAGGATTGTGGAGCTGCACGTACGAAGGGCAGACCGCGGGGTTCTGCCTCGTCGAATCCAGTAAGTGGAATTTGGCCGGCTACCGTAGCCGGCCACCTACTGTGGTCGGTCGGCTACCGTGGTCCAATGCGCTACCGCGGTACAATGCGCTACCGTGGTCCAATGCGCTACCGTGGTCGGACGGCTGGACTTGCAACGCAGAGGCCGCAGATTCCACTCCCGTCTTCCGGCGCGGCGGCTTGGAACAGCGGTGCGATGCGTGGGTAACTCCTCCCAACGCTGTCCCGACGTCCGGCCAGCGCGCGGAAGAGTAGGCCGATGGCACTCCCCACGACCTCCTTGGCGCGGTGCAACCACAGCGCCACCACCCCGTGCCAAACTTCGCATTCGACGATCGCGGCGGAAATTGGCCGCGCCCTCGGCAAGCTGCGATGGGCAGGGCGTTCTTGAAGTATTGACGTGGGTGGTTTTTTTAATATACCGAATTCGAACAGAAGAGCGGGCTCTTCACCTTTACTTCGGTCGCCGAACCCCTGCGCTAAGCCAAAAACGAAAGAAACTAACGAACAGAACGGAGCAGTGAAACCGACTTGTCCATCCGGTCGTAACCCGCAGGGATCTCGGAGATCAAGGAAGCGGAGTGCGAGAGCAAGGAGCTGACTGCGCTGACGCCCCAGGCCACCCAAGCGAGCGACCACCTATCGCCGCCCATCATCGAGATCGCCCTCGCCGCCGCGGGGTGCATTCTGGTGGTCGTCGCGGTGCTGGCCGCCGTGTATTTCTACAGAGAGAGTGAGTGGTGATGGCCGCCGTGTGTTTCTACAGACAGAGTGAGTGGTGATGGCCGCCGTGTGTTTCTACAGACAGAGTGAGTGGTGATGGCCGCCGTGTGTTTTTACAGACAGAGTGAGTGGTGATGACCGCCATGTGTTTCTACAGACAGAGTGAGTGGTGATGGCCGCCGTGTACTTCTACAGGCAGAGTGAGTGGCGATGGCCGCCGTGTACTTCTACAGGCAGAGTGAGTGGTGATGACCGCCGTGTATTTCTACAGAGAGAATGAGTGGTGATGGCCGCCGTGTATTTCTACAGAGTGAGTGGTGATGTCCGCTGTGTGTTTCTACAGACAGAGTGAGTGGTGATGGCCGCCGTGTGTTTCTACAGAGAGAGTGAGTGGTGATGGCCGCCGTGTGTTTCTACAGACAGAGTGAGTGGCGATGGCCACCGTGTGTTTCTACAGACAGAGTGAGTGGTGATGGCCGCCGTGTATTTCTACAGAGAGAGTGAGTGGCGATGGCCACCGTGTGTTTCTACAGACAGAGTGAGTGGTGATGTCCGCCGTGTGTTTCTACAGACAGTGAGTGGCGATGGCCACCGTGTGTTTCTACAGACAGAGTGAGTGGTGATGTCCGCCGTGTGTTTCTACAGAGAGAGTGAGTGGTGATGGCCGCCGTGTGTTTCTACAGAGAGAGTGAGTGGTGATGGCCGCCGTGTGTTTCTACAGAGAGAGTGAGTGGTGATGGCCGCCGTGTGTTTCTACAGACAGAGTGAGTGGTGATGGCCGCCGTGTGTTTCTACAGACAGAGTGAGTGGTGATGGCCGCCGTGTATTTCTACAGACAGAGTGAGTGGTGATGGCCGCCGTGTGTTTCTACAGACAGAGTGAGTGGTGATGGCCGCCGTGTGTTTCTACAGAGAGAGTGAGTGGTGATGGCCGCCGTGTGTTTCTACAGACAGAGTGAGTGGTGATGGCCGCCGTGTGTTTCTACAGACAGAGTGAGTGGTGAAGGCCGCCGTGTGTTTCTACAGAGAGAGTGAGTGGCAATGGCCGCCGTGTGTTTCTACAGACAGAGTGAGTGGTGATGGCCGCCGTGTGTTTCTACAGACAGAGTGAGTGGTGATGGCCGCCGTGTGTTTCTACAGACAGAGTGAGTGGCGATGGCCGCCATGTATTTCTACAGACAGAGTGAGTGGTGATGGCCGCCGTGTATTTCTACAGAGAGAGTGAGTGGCGATGGCCACCGTGTGTTTCTACAGACAGAGTGAGTGGTGATGGCCGCCGTGTATTTCTACAGAGAGAGTGAGTGGCGATGGCCGCGTGTGTTTCTACAGAGAGAGTGAGTGGTGATGGCCACCGTGTGTTTCTACAGACAGAGTGAGTGGCGATGGCCGCCGTGTGTTTCTACAGACAGAGTGAGTGGTGATGGCCACCGTGTGTTTCTACAGAGAGAGTGAGTGGTGATGGCCGCCGTGTGTTTCTACAGACAGAGTGAGTGGCGATGGCCGCCGTGTGTTTCTACAGGCAGAGTGAGTGGCGATGGCCGCCGTGTGTTTCTACAGACAGAGTGAGTGGTGATGGCCACCGTGTGTTTCTACAGACAGAGTGAGTGGCGATGGCCGCCGTGTGTTTCTACAGACAGAGTGAGTGGTGATGGCCGCCGTATATTTCTACAGACAGAGTGAGTGGTGATGGCCGCCGTGTATTTCTACAGAGAGAGTGAGTGGTGATGGCCGCCGTATATTTCTACAGACAGAGTGAGTGGTGATGGCCGCCGTGTATTTCTACAGACAGAGTGAGTGGCGATGGCCGCCGTGTATTTCTACAGAGAGAGTGAGTGGTGATGACCGCCGTGTATTTCTACAGACAGAGTGAGTGGTGATGGCCGCCGTGTATTTCTACAGACAGAGTGAGTGGCGATGGCCGCCGTGTATTTCTACAGAGTGAGTGGTGATGGCCGGCGTGTATTTCTACAGAGTGAGTGGTGATGGCCGGCGTGTATTTCTACAGAGTGAGTGGTGATGGCCGCCGTGTATTTCTACAGAGTGAGTGGTGATGGCCGCCGTGTATTTCTACAGAGTGAGTGGTGATGGCCGCCGTGTATTTCTACAGAGTGAGTGGTGATGGCCGCCGTGTATTTCTACAGACAGAGTGAGTGGTGATGGCCGCCGTGTATTTCTACAGAGTGAGTGGTGATGGCCGCCGTGTATTTCTACAGAGTGAGTGGTGATGGCCGGCGTGTATTTCTACAGAGTGAGTGGTGATGGCCGCCGTGTATTTCTACAGACAGAGTGAGTGTTGTTGGGTTTTTTCGGTAAAGTCACGTAGGTAAAAAATTAAAATTAAAAAATAAAATAAAAATCACGACGTTTCGGAGGCAACACAAGCCTCCGTCTTCAGGTGGAACCGTCACAGCACGCTCGCTGTATCAAGCAAATGAGAAATTCCAAGAGATCCGACCCCGTATATATACTGGTTGAGGGGGGAGGAGCCAGGGCAGGCCCCTGGATAGGAATTTACCTACGTGACTTTACCGAAGAAACCCAAGAATATGAATCCTTGCAGTCACGAAAGCTTCAAATCTCGACAGAGTGAGTGGTGATGTCCATCGGCAGGCAAACACCGACGGAACCCGACCTCTTCTCGATGGGGGTCGTAGCGGGGGGGGTGGAATTGCCTAACCGTGCCGGCAGTGAGCACGGGCGGTCACCGTCGTCGGGTGCGATTCGGATGCCCAGGGTTGGTGAACCACGAAAAGAGTTGTGAAACTGCACATAACATGGTCGGGTGGAGGGGGGGGGGGCTAAAGCGAGAAGACGGTGATGATGGTGGCACTGTAACAGTGGTTCTTCAAGGCCAGGTGTCGATGTTAGAACGGCTCTGGGATCTGGGTGCACTGTACGTGTGTACGTTGAATTTCTTTCACACCCTACGTAGCCGACCGCGCTAATGAGGGGTGCAGGGGAAGGACAACAAACCAGGGAGATGCTCTACAGCGATGGGTCAATATCGTTTGCCACCTTCTTCTGAAACTAAACGAGACTATTTTTATGTTTTACCAGGTAGGACCCACTGAGCGACACAGCTCTTTTTCAGAAGCGACCTGGCCACGAATTATAGCTCAACGAAGTGGCTTATCACGTGGACATTTAGCCGGATACGCTAAACAAATGTTTGATTCTAAATGCGGAGGGAAAAACCGGAGGACACGGAGAAAAATCCACCCGATCACAGGGGAGAGAAAGAGACACCGCAAACTCCAAATATACAGCAGGTGTTAGGGTCGGGATCGAACCGACGACCTCCTGTATACCAGGCGAGATAGTTAACATCTCCTAGCCACCGTGATGATGATGATGATGAGAGAGAGACACGCAAACTCCAAATATACAGCAGGCGTCAGGGTCGGGATCGAACCTACGATCTCCTGCGTACCAGGCGAGGTAGTTAACATCTCCTAGCCACCGTGATGATGATGAGAGAGAGAGAGACACCGCAAACTCCAAATACACAGCAACAGGCGCCAGGGTCGGGATCGAACCCACGACCTCCTGCGTACCAGGCGAGGTAGTTAACATCTCCTAGCCACCGTGATAATGATGAGAGAGAGAGAGACACCGCAAACTCCAAATACACAGCAACAGGCGTCAGGGTCGGGATCGAACCCACGACCTCCTGCGTACCAAGCGAGGTAGTTAACATCTCCTAGCCACCGTGATAATGATGAGAGAGAGAGAGACACCGCAAACTCCAAATACACAGCAACAGGCGTCAGGGTCGGGATCGAACCCACGACCTCCTGTGTACCAGGCGAGGTAGTTAACATCTCCTAGCCACCGTGGTGGGCCTCGTGTGTCGGCGGTCCGCAGGAGATGGAAACCAACAGTGGGCGGCGTTCGGCCTGCACATCAGCAGACTTCCCACTTCAAGCATCAGAGCGACATAGCAAGTGTGGCAGGCAACATAGCAAGTATGGCAGGCAACATAGCAAGTGTGGCAGGCGACATAGCAAGTGTGGCGAGCGTCAGCGTTGACTTCCGGACCATTGTCATGAAATCCGCGTTAATAAAACAAAAACGTCGAATAATTTTGTTTCATTTTCTTTTGCAGGCAAGAAGGCACTCATCTCACCTTACGTGTCAGAGTAAGTTCAAGCAAACCACAGGGCCCGCACCACCACGGTTGGCCACACTATGTGCGCGCGTGTGTTGAACTTCGTTTGCACCGTACGTAGCCGACCGTGCTGATCGGAGGTGCGATCGTTTAGGCTGTTCGTCTGCGTAGGCCGAGCATGAGCAATGACCATGAACTGAGAACAACGCGTGCCCGTCACCTCTCTCGCGACAAGTAAAAAAAATAATATCAATGGGACCTTTTCTGCCAGTATCAAAGTATAAAAAATAAGATTATGCTTTAGCCTTTCTATCTTGATTTGAAGCTTTCGTGACTGCAGGAAGCCATACTCTTTGGTTCTTTCGGTAAAGTCACGTAGGTAGAAAATAAAATAAATCACGACGTTTCGGGCGCAACACAAGCGTCCATCATCAGGTGGGAAAGCATGGTCTGCTGCTGAGGCAGACTTCTTTTTAAAAAGGTTTGAAATGGGTGTAGTTCAAGGGTTACCCTTTCTGGCAACAAAACAGGTCCTAAGATCTTCTTGGTTCTTTCGGTAAAGTCACGTAGAATGGAAATAATAAAATAATAAAAATAAAACAATAATTCTCACGACGCAAGCAGCCGTCCTCAGATGAAGAACAGGTCTGTCGAGACGACAGAGTCTGAATGACACACCCCAGACTCTGTCGTCTCGGGTACCCGATACCCTACCCGATACCCGGCTACCCGTACCCGGCCGGGTACGGGTAGACATTTGCGACCCTGGTGCGGCCGGGTACGGGTATGGGTAGGCCGTGAGTCACTGGTGAGTAACCGTTTGTCACTCATTTCGGGTAGGGTACGGGTAGGGTACGGGTAGGGTACGGGTACCCATTTGCGACCCTGGTGCGGCCGGGTATGGGTACGGGTAAGGAATCAAAACCCGTTTGCGACCTCTGCTGTACGTGTGTTGAACTTCTTTCGCACCATACGTAAGTGAAAACCTACTCGATGTGCTTTCTTTTTCAGACCTGCCGATAGCCTGAGACAGTCTCGAATGACCTGCCATCCCGACTACAGCTACAACAACGGTAATGAGAGCCAAAAACCTTCCCGACAGCAAAGTGCACAACTCCACGGGCCTTCTGTCAGCCGCTGCTGCTCATTCCGTCACTCAATACGGTTTGGTCTGCACGTGTTTCCCTCCCGCCCCATGAGTTCCTCTCACTGCCTCTGCGTAATTGCACGGCGTGCATCTCTCCACACCTTTGTGCGCTCTTCATCTTTTTGTTTCGGACGAGTGGGAAAACTAAACTATTTTTTTATCTTACCAGATAAGGACCACACTGAGCTATATACGGCTCTTTTTCAGAAGCGACCTGACCACAAATGATAGCCCAACGAAGTGGCTTATCACGTGGAAATGTATAGCCGCCAAATTCTCTGAACGCGTGATGTCGATTCTAAATGTGGAGGGGAAAACTTGAGGGTCCGGCGAAAAATCCACGCGACCACGGGAAGAGAGACACCGCAAACTACAAATACACAGCAGGCGTCAGGGTCGGGATTGAACCCACGACCTCCTGTATACCAGGCGAGGTAGTTAACATCTCCTTGCCACCATGATGATGATGATGAGAGAAAGACACCGCAAACTCCAAATATACAGCAGGCGTCAGGGTCGGGATTGAACCCATGACCTCCTGCATACCAGCAAGGTAGTTAACATCTAGCCACCATGGCGAGATGTAGCCAGAACTGGTTCCAATAATGAATCCAAGCTCTACGGTATTGGGATGCTTTGGCCATCTCCATCGACGAGCGTTTGTACATGTGAGAGGAAAGCCGTGCATGCGAAGGGGTGAGCACCGAATCCCCGCACAGATTCAAATGAATGGGGTGTCATTCGAGTAAGAGTGGAATGTAAGAGCCAATATTGAGTGTGCGGAATGCAAGAGTCAAAATTAGGTTGGAGCCAGGTGTTTAGTTTGTTGTCCTTACCCCCGCACCTCTAATTAGCAAGGTTGGCTACGTACTGTGCGAAAGAAGTTCAACATACACATGTCCATGACTCGTAGTGGAAAGTCCACTTTTCTATAATATTGGCTCTCACATTCGTTACATTCAATATCCAGATGTTAACTCCCTCGCCTGGTGTATAGGAGGTCGTGGGTTCGATCCCAACCCTGAGACGTCTGCTCTATATTTGGAGTTTGCGTGCTTTTCTCTCTTTCTCTCCTCGTGGTAGCGTGGATTTTTCTCCAGGCCCTCCGATTTTTTTTCACCCTCCGCAATGAGAATCAACGTCACGCGTCTCGGAGCATCTGGCTGCGATACATTTCCAAGCGATGGGAATCCCACTCCGTTGAGTTGCTGTCATTTTTGATGGCCACGTCGCTTCTGAAATAAAAAAGAGCAACGTATCTCAGTGGGGGGCCGGGGCCTTGCCCGGTAACGATACAAAATACAGTTGAGTTTCAGTTGAACACCGCTGCCACCAGATGCACTTCAGCGGCCTTCTGGAACACTCGCACAGAGACCCCGGGATTAGAAAGTTGTGTTCCGTGGCGGCTGTGACAGCGACCGAGCGCAGCGCAGAGCCGTTAACCTCTCGTTAACCTCTCGTTAACCTCTCGTTAACCTCTCGCCCCGCCACCCTCCCCAGCCACAGGGGACTGTGGCCACTCCGTGGAGATGCCCTACGTCCCGATGACCAAACAACGGACAAGTCAGATAGGTAAGGCTAGCAGGAGGCGATATTGAATGTACCGAATGTAAGAACCAATAAACTAAACTCTCGACAAGATAAGCGTCGACCGCGTGAACCCAGGCGCGTTCTGCACGAGGCTGTTAATGGTCCGCCTACAAGCATTGCGTGCGAGAGCACTTGGGGTTGATAGGAGTAGAGGGCCTGGTTCAGTTGTGTAAAACTCAAGGACAATTGTCCCAGAAATCCCATTGAAATCGGCGTCATTTAGGGCGATTTTTCTTAAATTAAAGTGTTTGCTCAACTATTTATTTTGTATTTTACCAGGTAAGGCCCCACTGAGCTATATAGATCTGCTTCAGAAGCGACCTGGCCGTCACAAATGATAGCTCAACGAAGTGGCTCATCGTCACGTGTAAATGTGTAGCAACCAAATGCTTTAAACGCGTGATGTCGATTCTAAATGTGGAGGAGAGGACCCGAAGAAAAATCCACGCGACCACGGGGACATAGACCCGCAAACTCCAAATACGCAGCAGGCGTCGGGGTCGGGATCGAACCCGCGACCTCCTGTACACCAGGCGAGGGAGTTAACATCTGGATATTGAATGTAACGAATGTGAGAGCCAATTTTAAGTAAGAGCAAAAACACATTCTAGATTTGAAGCTTTCGTGACTGCAAGGATTCATACTCTTAGGTTTTTTTCGGTAAAGTCACGTAGGTAAAAAATAAAATTAAAAGTTAATGAAAGTAATAATGGAAATAAAATAAAATAATAAATCACGACGTTTCGGAGGCAACACAAGTCTCCGTCATCAGGTGGGACCGTCACAGCTAAAATTACTGCATCAAGTGCATCAAGTGCAGTAATTTTAGCTGTGACGATCCCACCTGATGACGAAGACTTGTGTTGCCTCCGAAACGTCGTGATTTATTATTTAATTTTATTTCCATTATTACTTTAACTTTTAATTGTATTTTTTACCTACGTGACTTTACCGAAAAATAACCTAAGAGTAGCAAAAACCCAGTCGGAGAAGAGCCAATATTTAATCCACAACGAATGGTGCAATGTGCACACAAGCCATGCGCTTGCCATGGCCTCCTTGGTCTACCCACTGCTGGATGAGGGCCTCCCACCCGCGCCGTGCCGGTCGCGGGCGGTTACATGGCCGTACTTCACCACGCCGGTCAAGTGTGGGTTGGTGAAGGCTGGGAGGAGCGTATACGCGGGAGGTTTGAAGCAGTGGACTTTTTGCTGCGTCAACCTCTGCTGCCCAACGCTGTAGCCGCACGGCAGCCGGTCGCAACCTGGCATGCACGATGGGCACCCATCCGAGGACTAGCCAGGATCCACCCTGCTTAGCTTCCTAGAAGTGGAAAGACTTGGTCAGAGGCCTAGTGCGTATCGTAGATTTGTATACATCCATCGCAGGTGTATATCATCGATACAACGTCGTGTTTATGATATATGTACACCGGTGTATAATTAACGGACCGTGGAGCGATGTACGTTCATTTGCGTGTTGTATTTTTTTGGAACAGACGGGGAAACGGAGGAGCATTACGACTACGAGAACGTGAGCGACACCTTGAGTAAGTTTCAGCCACTCCGACGCGCGAGGCTTTGCACTCCCACATTGCTTCCATAGACGTCACAAGATCACGTCCATCTTTAAAGCGTGGTTAGCTCATATTCTTGGTTCTTTCAGTAAAGTCACGTAGAAGGGAAATAATACAATAATTTAAATATAAAACAATAAAATTCTCACGACGTTTCGACTGCAACACAAGCAATCATCATCACGTGTGAAATCCACAGCAAGCTCGTCAATGGATGTGGTGCTTTGTATGCATGTTGCGGTGGTGTAGCGGTTAGCGCGCTGCGCTACGAACTCGACGACCAGAGTTCGATTTTCCGCTCACTGCCACCACCAGCAACGATTATCTGAACCGGTCCTGGGCCTCCCCTAGGTCGACTCAGCCTCAAATGAGTACCTGGCGCGGTGTGTAAACATCGGCACTAGGGAGACAAAGGCGACCGGGCGTGGTGCTGGCCACCCGCCCCCTCGTGTGCCGTAACGGCCTTCATAGGTGCTACTCGCTAACAGCACTTGCTCCTACAATCTGTTAAGGCTATATGGTGGAATCTTTGTCTTTGTATGTACGTTGAACTTCTTTCGCACCATACGTAGCCAACCGAGCTAATCGGAGGTGCGGGAGAAGGACAACAAACTAAACACAAAAAGCAGCTCTAAAGAAACGAGTTTTCAACCTCTATGTAAAACTGCATAGCTCCAGTGTCTTCCTAATGTAGTGGCTTCCACGGAGACACACACTAGAACCTGGAGGCAACACGTTAATTATAACACCCCCACAGGGTAACTGCATAACGTACACTTGGTTAACTAGACCACAACGGGGTAACTACATAACTGGGTCAGTCAGTAACACACTGCCTGACCCACGATGCCGAACGTGAAGACCGAGGTACTTAGGATCGACGTAGCACCGACAGGTTCCATTCCAGCAGACAGCCGCGATTGCTCTCGGGACTTCCCTTTTATGCTCCCGGGAGGCGTGGCTTAGCTCCGCCTCGACCACGCCCCCTTCTAGATCCTACTAGAAGGTTCTGGGCTATACATCACGTGTCCCTCTCGCCACCCTTTGGCCCCTCTCCCTACCCTGTCCCGGTCACGTGCCCTCTCGGGTTCACCCAGACTGTCACGTCCTTACTTGCCCTCTCTCTGCCCGTCACCAAAACCATGCCCCCGAGGGCCCAGCTCCACGCTATACCTCTACTCTGGTGCCAGAGAGAGGCCCAAGACGCACAGTTGCACTCTTGTGACAGCAGCTGGCGCTAAACGCCATCGTGACTCCATTTACGTCGATACTCTAATATCGGAAGGAAGAGCGTTCCAGACGGCCGCAGAAGTGCATCTGAAAGTGCGTGATGGAGGGGCTGTCTTTTCTCGAGTAAACCACTACCAGAGTAACGATAGTTAACGATGATGAAGATGATGTACAGCTATTTATCCATGAGGGCCTCCCCACGCTGCGTCCATACTTCACCACGTTGGTCACATTAACAAAAAGATTCAACATACTCGTCAACAACACTCTGGCTTTAAATGAAAACACATAATTCGGCAACGTTTCGGGCAACGGCTCTTATTCAGAGCACATAATCAGAGAAGCCAGAGACATTTTATTTAAAAATGTTTTTTTCTCTCCAGATGTTCAGGATGAAGGACCTGCACAGCCGTCATCACTCCACCAGCAAAACCCTCTGTACCTCTGCAACGACACTCTGTACGGAGATGTTGCATGAGACTCGTGTAAAGGAGATCAGGATATTTTTTTAATACTGTACATATATAATCACGGTTCTTGAGCAGAGGCCCAAATGCTCAAAACTCCATGCAGGCAGCAACAAAATGAACCGGATATTATTGCAGTCGCTTCACATTGAAAGTGTTATTCGAACAGAAATGTCTGGTTTACGATTCATAATTTAAAAAATTAGCGGGGAGGCCAGGTGACCAGATTGGGGCGCCACGGTGGCGAGATGTTAACTCCCTCGCCTGGTATTCAGGAGGTCGTGAGTTCTATTCCAACCTTGACGCCTGCTGTATATTTGGAGTTTGCATATTCATTTCTTCTGATGCTATATTGTATTTTAGCTGGGGCAATGATTAACATCACACGAGTTACTGTTCAATTTTAATCATATACGAACTCAGCTTTGTCTATCCCGGTTATCTCGGTGAATCCTGGCATGAAATCTCCTGGTCATATATTTTGTAGTCAATCACAGGTAATGTAGTCAAGCTCATTTATTGTAGTAAATATTCAGGTATTCTTTCTTCTTGGTTCTTTCAGTAAAGTCACGTAGAAGGGAAGTAATACAATAATAAAAATAAAACATAATAAAATTTTATTATGTTTTATTTTTTATTATGTTTTATTTTTATTTTTATTATTTTATTACTTCCCTTCTACGTGACTTTACTGAAATAACCAAGAAGATGAATCCCTGCAGTCACGAAAGCTTTACATCGAAATACTCATGTATTGTAGTATATCTCAGGTATTGTAGCAAAGCTCACGGCTCAGGTATTGAATGAAAACTATGAAAATTCCAAGAGGAAACTGAAATAAAATGTCGGGTCGTGTTAAATACACAGGCGGGTAATATTCGGCGAACTGAATCAATACTGCTCTACTGGTTTAAAACGCCAGAAAGGGCCAATAATGTGAGCTTCAATACAACTTGTATGCCGTAATTTTATTATGTTAATGCAGAACCGTTATGTCTTTGAAATATCTCTTTTTTAAGTATAAAGACTCATGTAAACCTTCTCGTGAAATGTGTTTGTTTTACTTGAGCTTGCGCGCATCATTATATCGACGTGTGACTGCTGGTTTCTGAATCACCCCACCAGCCATCGATGAATGCCTCTTGCTATCATCGCGATCAACGTTTTTTTTTAATCCTTTATATTAAGTTCGCTTGCTTGCTTAGGACCGTTTTTTAACCCACTCCCCGTGATCCAATCGAGCTGACATTTTGCACACAGACTCGTTGTGCGTGACAATGCATTTTCGTGAAAAAAATTCCAAAATTTTACACTGTTTAGGGAAAAAAAAATATTTAATTACCAATTGTTTAATGCTGCCAGACAATCATCTGACCCATAGGTGGCAGCCATCTCAAGCCAGAGGACGAGAGGACTCTAGCCGCCCCGATGCCACGCATATAAAGGATTTATAGTGAAAAACTTTGTTTTTACGGGTTATACTTGTTTCCGGTCCTGTTCGTAGTTTCATTCGCAACATTATCCCGCTATCTTGTTTGTTGTTCTTGTTATTGTTGTTGTGTTCAGTGTTTGTTGTCCTCCCCGCACCTCCGCTTAGCACGGTTGGCTACGCACGGTTCAACGTACATCCATACGCATCTAACGTGCGCGCACGTACGTTTCCTAAAACCAGCATATGTTTTTTGTTTTCTTGAAATTCGTTACGCGGAGTGCCACGTGCCACCACTCGACAGCGTTGGCTCGTCGATGTGACTTCAAATCACAAATGCTTTGGGCCAGTGAACGTCTCGCATCTCAAACGACGTATGCCTCGTAATTATTCTTACATTATTGTGATTATGCCTAAATGCAAACTTAAAACACCAACATCTTTTTGGAGTGTATACTATATCGGTACGCAATTGCCAGTCACAATGCTTTAAAAACTATACTGTATATTTATGTATATGATGAAGTGTTCGGCTTAGTTGTGCGCTCCGCCGTTTACGCTACTAAAATGTTTTTTCTCGTGACGGAGGCAACTATTGAAGTACATCGTGAAAGTACAGCGTGTCCACGAAGGCACCATCCATGATTCATGAATTAAAACATTCCTGCGGAGGGAGCTGGTAGGAACGTTGGGTTGCTCGGTCAATGGCCAGGGTCAACGGCGGCGTGGTGTATTCCGCAAATATGCCCGACTGTGAGGGCGGGCACAAGCCGGCGTGAGTAGGTTAAATGTTGAGTTTTATAAGGGCACCACGGGGTGACCAGCCCCTCCCCACCCAGCCCCACCCCTCCCACCCCCTCCCCACCCTCCCCACCCAGCCCCTCCCCACCCTCCCCACCCAGCCCCTCCCCACCCTCCCCACCCAGCCCCTCCCCACCCAGCCCCACCCGCCCCACTCAGTCCCTCCTCACCCAGCCCCTCCCCACCCTCCCCACCCAGCCCCTCCCCACCCTCCCCACCCAGCCCCTCCCCACCCAGCCCCACCCGCCCCACTCAGTCCCTCCTCACCCAGCCCCTCCCCACCCTCCCCTCCCCACCCAGCCCCTCCCTACACGACGGACACAATACTCCCCTGTGGGCTGGTGTAACCAGGAGGTTCCTACCAGTATTATGATTGTTGACCCAAGTCAAGGCTCATTATTGTTTACCTTTAATAACGGGCGGCAGCTTCACGAACCCTCTGGGATATCAATTGATGTGCATCTGAATGCTTGTTCAACACTTGGTGTGTGTGTATATATATATGAGAGTAATGTTTTACAACTATTCACAATCGCCATGGGGTTTACATCACCCCCTGCAAGCCGTGCGAGGTGCTACGACTTTTCACCGCACGCGGCGTGTTCGAAAAGTGGACTCGGCTTTGCGCCTTTTGCAACAACAACAAAAAAACCCCTTCAGTGGTTCCTGAAGAGGTGCATTGTGCTTTGTCCGAGGCCACAATCAAAATACATTTGACCAAATTTGACCGTGTGACAGCAGCAGCAGCAGTCAAGACGGCTAACGAAACTGATTTCATCCTTCTCAGGACTCATCGGTACTCGCCAATGCTCACGGATGCAAAGTCTGCCACTAAGAACCACATATGTACAGTCCCCACGTTTATGATTGCCATATAATGCACAAATCATGTCTATTGTGAATTGTTCCTTATGGGGTTTTTTTTTTGGTCGCCTTTCATTTCCCGGTCTACATCACTTGTTCTGTTATAATGGGTATTCTCATATTTTATTACAGAATCGATTCACTGCAAAGATAAAACTAAATATATATAGTTGGATTGAATCACAGCCCACAACTGTGATAATATAATTCGTCAAACTCTTGATAAAGTAGGGCGAATCGTTCCACTTCTAAACGCAGAATGTACCCAAGCATTGCTGCTTTTCAATCCTATCGTACAATCCATTCAAAAACAGAAATATATTCTTTTTAAATGCAGCTTATCTTTAACCGAAGCGCACAACACACCGCGTGAAAAGTCAGCTAAGTAGACACTTGCGCTACGAAGCAACGACAAGAACTTCGAACCAAATTAAAAGTTTCGATTTAAAGCGTTCGTGACTGCAGGGATTCATCTTCTTGGTTCTTTCGGTAAAGTCACGTAGAAGAGAAATAATACAATAAAACAATAAAATACAATTCTCACGACGTTTCGGCCACAACGCAAGCAGTCGTTCTCAGATGCTGTCTTTCCGACAGCTCTGTTCTTCCTTTGAAGAACAGGCTGCTTGCGTTGTGGCCGAAACGTCGTGAGAATTGTATTTTATTATGTTTTATTTTTATTATTTCCCTTCTACGTGACTTTACCGAAAGAACCAAGAAGACAAATTAAAAAGCTTTCTGTGATGAAAAAACTAAGATGTTTCGTATGTCGCCGTGACAGAAATGTCACGACACGTGCGATCGTGACCATCGGAGTGAATCTTCCTGTCACCGCCGCGGCTTTGTGCCACCTAGAACGTCAGCCGTTTGCGCCGCGTTGCTACCCGAAAGGCAACTTGACTCTGCCTTTGTCCTTGGCTTTTCAACTTGATCGGCACTCGTGCAATTTGCGTTGTTGAGTGTCGGAAGGAATAACCTCGCCGCTTTTTTTTTTTTAAACTCCACCGGAAGGAAGCAAATTAAATGTGAACACGCTTCCTTTTGATTTAAAGCTTTCGTGACTGCAGGGATTCATATTCTTGGTTCTTTCGGTAAAGTCACGTAGAAGGGAAATAATAAGATAATATAAATATAAAAAATAAAAATTCTCACGTTTCGACTGCAACACAAGCAATCATCATCAGGTGTGAAATCCACAGCAAGAAATTTTGAAGAAGAAAAAAAATCTTACTGTCGATTTCACACCTGATGATGATTGCTTGTGTTGCAGTCGAAACGTCGTGAGAATTTGTTTTATATTTATATTATTTTATTATTTCCCTTCTACGTGACTTTACCGAAAGAACCAAGAATACACTTCCTTTTGTAATCCCTGCATTTTTTTAAGTACACGCATATTAATACCGTACGTGAAGATGGTTTAACTGGCTTGAATGGAATTGCTTTATTGTACAGTACTTTTTTAAAATAATTTTTTGGGGGGGGGAGGCGGCATCAAATACCCTTTTTACATATTAGCAACGTGTCATACTGTTGTTGTTTTTAAACATATAAAAATGTCCGTGCATTGTCCGATGATATTACGAGTGCGTGCGAAGTGTTTCCTTGCACACCAATAAAAGCACACACACAGGGGCTTTCTGCTCCACAAGAGTGATTGTAACGTGAAACCTTTATAGCGCGTCCGCCGCGCGATCACGTGCAGCAGCAGCAGCAACAACATTCATCTTAGCCGCGGACAATCTCGGTGGGTTGCAACTTCAAAAGCGAAAAGCGAAGCAGGGAAAACAAACAAACAAACCATGACCACGTGTCGGATACATTCATTCACCGCAATTACCGTCACGAATCATCCGTAAGGAACTGGCCCGGCCCATCGGGTTTTGGGGAACATTTGAAAACTTTGAAGCAAACGCTGCCAATTACCGAACATCGATTGGGTTTACTTGGACGTGCGCGCGTTGTGAAATAGCGCGCGCCAGATGTTTTCGGTGCTGACTACAGACAATTTAGCTCCGTGCCATTCAACGCAGTGGGGTCTGCCGTGTCTTGAGAAGGAAGCAAGCAGGGGGCAAACTGCGTCCCCAAAAGTCGCACGCGCAGGCCCACGAAATGCGCGCACACCGGTGTTTCGGAATGCCGTGGAAGACCTCGACTGCTGTGACAGCAGCTCCAGAAGATCTCCAAACCTGTCAACCCCTTATCAGTGCCCGACCATATTATTACAGACCAATTCAGACCTTATTGGTCACCCCGTGCCCCTTATAGAAAATCTCAAAACGTTCATCCGACAAGGGAGAAAAAAATGTTACTCAATTTCCCTGCACAAGAATACGGGTAAACCGTACGAGTTGACAGGTTTGGAAATCGATACAAAAATATCAATCCACACGCAAATGGGGTGGAAAACCACGTGGGTGCCAATTGAATCGGATAAGTGCCAGGCAAATCTGGCACACAAAAATGTTTTTTTACATAAACACAACGTTCTATTTACAAATTGTCGATTACAAGTTCAGTACTTCGCTGTGTAATCACGTAAATAAATTGGTAATGATTTGCCGTTCCCCACCGAACACATCGATCAAGCTGTAGGAGGGCATTGACGTTCACGCTGTCCGCGCAGAAGATCACAGAGAGCAAGCGTTGTTGTAACAGATGGAGGAGAGAAACAATGTCGAACAAAGCAGTTGTAGGGTAACACTTTTTCATTCATGTAAACACGACCGAATGGAGGGGGGCTGCCACACAAAGCAGTTTACAACTTCAACACACCGGTCCGTAGGCGCCCGAACACGTCGACATTTGCAACGTCTTAAAAGAGTAACAATCCCTTGCCATCTTCCGCACTGGCCATTCCATTGCTGACGTCCTAACAACAATTTAACAGCAGCCCAGTTGACGTTTGCTTTTTAATGTCAACATATTACACGGCGATCAACGTATAGACACCCCCACTGATTTCAAACGACCCCGGCTGGTCTCGTGCAGGACACGGTGGGGCTGGTCACAAGGCACCGTTGATGGCCTCGGCGTAAGAAGCATCATCGAATGATGTCGGCAACATCACGCCGGCTACGGTTGGACAAAGTGCATCGGGGGGACGAGTTCATGAACGATTTCATAAGTGCATCGAATTTTGTGAGAGATGTGGAGAGGCTTTGAAATTAAACGTACCGGTAGTTTTCCCCTGCAACTGATGTCTGTCTCGCCTGGCAATGCAGGAGGTCGTGGCTTAGATCCTGAACCTGACGCTGCCTTGTATATTTGGAGTTTGCGTGTCTCTCGCACCGCGGGTGCGTGGATATTTCTCCGGGTCCTCCGGTTTTTCCACTCCACATTTAGAAACGTGCGTTCAAAGTATTTGGCTGCTATGCGTTGATAAGCCGCTTCCGTTGAGCTATCATTTGTGACCAGGTCGCTTCTAAAAAAGAGCTGTGGAGGAGCGCAGTGACGCCTGACCTGGTAAGATACAAAAAGTTTCGTTTTTTCGTGGGGTATCTATAAATGGACCGTCGCTTTGCTGTACCGTTAACACCGCCGGTCGCGCCACAAATGGCGCGTGCACTTTAAACCGAACCAATCCCACTCAACATTTGTGAACAAAGTGTTGATAACGTAACACACCTTTGAGGAACGAACGAACGAACGCCGCGCTCTTGAAAAACCCAACTGCAACTTTGCTCGTGCAACAAATACAAATATTCCCGTGTTCACGAAAACAAAGCAATCGAGGGTCGTTTGAAAGCTGAAACAAAGTGCAAACTTCCGAAACGGCTTCACAGCTTGGGAGTCGAAGTGACTCTCGCTTCAAAACGCCTCCGCATCCGGCAACACTTTCGGAGCACCGCGCGACGCACACTCGCATCTCACTCAAACCGGCTCAAAAAATCTCTACCGCGGTGCCGAAACCTCTCGCACAAACAAAAACCACGTAAGCGGCAAATAATGGGGGCCTACATTCAAAATGGCATTGAGAAGCGAAGACCCCATTGAACAAGCGACCCTCTCGACCAGTTCACACTTGGATTAAAGAGCTGTGTTGGACCTAATAGAAAGACAAAGACGGCAAAACCCCGTGCGTATTGTTGGAACCAACACCCGTGCACAAAACTGGAAAACGTCACGCAACTCACTTGACCTGCTCCAACAACCAGGGCTACCCGCAGGCTCCCGGAGGCCTGGGGCTGACGGCCCCGGGCAGAATGCCACGCGGGGAGCTCCTTTATTCAAAATCCCAGGCCCCTGATAGAGGGCCCTCTCTTGTGAGGCCCAGGGAACGTTGCCCCACGTGCCCACTCAACCCTCTCTCCGCCTGGGCGGCTCTGATAACAACAGCCATCCTGAACACGAGTTGGTGAATGTCAAGACCCGTGCAGCGGTAACACATCAAGGGTTTCTTTCTTGTTCCTTTACAAAAGAAAGACATATCCAGTCTAACTTCGACTTACCCGTCTATTCCTTCATTTCCCCAACAGCATTTCAAATGACCTATTTTATCCATCTTCCTGTGTGCAATGTCTGTGTGTGTGAACGTCGCAGCGCTGGGCAGGTTTTACCATGGCGCGCTCACAACAAAAAAACTGCAATTCTTGTAAATAAATCAAACGCACCGAAACTGCCAAACAGCATGCGCACGCGCTGGGCTCCCAGTGTTCAGACACAGTATCATCAGCGCAGTGTCAAGCCACGTGCGTCTCATGCTATGGAGTGCTTGTAGCAGCGACGGTGCCAGACACGACATTTGACAGGAGCAGAGCGTGCTCGCTTAATCGCCAATCCCATTGTCGATGGCTGTAAGCGCGATAACGTTTAAAAGACTCAAGCGAGCGTTTCAGACATACCCAGTTTTGGAGTGTAAAGCACCGACAATGAACTAGACGTAACCCGCACAAAGATATCTTCCTCTTAGCTTTGATAATAAGTGCTAAATGGTCGCGGAAGTGGCCGTACAGCGGTTATACCGTACTGCACTATGAACCTGGCAACCCGAGTTCAATTGTCGGTCACGACAATTTGAACCAGTCCTGCCCTCCCCCCCTCTGCCCCCCTCCTTTCACCAATATGGACTCACCAAGATGAAGATGTGTGGTCATATAAACCTCATGAGCGACATGGTGTGGGGGAGGCCTTCCTCCAGCAGTGCATTGACAAGGGGCTGTAGGGAACAATGGTCGGAAAGTTACAGAGGGGGGCGATGGTGTGGGGCCTGACATCTCGTCACCGGTGCTGTCTCTGCATCAGCAGCTAACTTGATGGTGGCTTAGGGGAGGTCAACAACAGATCAGTGCAGCATGCCCACAACTATGTGTGTGTATACCAACGCAACGTGGCATTTTCACAAACTACCCTTATTGTAACGGAGGTACAGCTTTTAGCTTTTATACAAACATCCATAACTGCAAGGGGGCGAGTGAAGGGTGAAAGGGAATGACCGGTTACTGATAATGATCATCTGCGCTGACAGGGCGAATTGGTTAATGGACATCATTGCAGTAGTTACACTTTGAAAGCCCCAAATAACTCCAGGCGAGTAGAAACAAAGGAGCAACGGTGAACTACGCGTCCTTTTTTTAAAAAAAAAAAACACTTAACGAGTTACTACTTTAGAAAAAAATGCGCGAGCAAATTTGGCCACACTACCAAACCTATGTCGGTGTACATCCATTAATAATGTACTGCGTTACTGTACTATCCGGTATGTTGGTACAGATACCATGTATTCAAACGCAAAACCAACATTATAAAACAAAACATTTCAAACTTGGTTATTAACAAAAGACGACAAGGACTCGGATAACAACACCGTGTTACATGGAGAGGTAAATGAGCGATACAATAAGCTGGTGACGTACGAGCTACACACACTGAACAATTAACATAGAAATTGCGATGAAGTTGGGACAGATAAATCAAAAACAGGTGCCTCGCTCAACGAGCTGTGCGAAAAATTTGAATTGAGACCCATTTGTTCGCAAAACGAGCAAATGTTCACGTAGCGAATCGATCGAATGCGCACCGCGTCCCGCAGCTGTTTCCCGGCTGTGCTTCCCACGTGATTCCCCATGTGGGGGGCTTCGTAATGGCACTGTAATGGGCGGGTGGGGCGGGAGGGGCGGGAGGGGTGGGGGCAAGTGGACGGGGGGCTACGCTACGGACAGGCACCCTGCACGCGCTGTGTGGTTATTCATGGGTGCTCAGTGTCACATTCGATGTTTTATTACTTTATTTCGTATTTCTCACGTTAAGAAAGTTGTTCAAGAGTGGAATGTTCTGGGGGATGAAACGTAACTCGGCTTTTAACATGGGAGTCAATGGAAAAACGGTGATCGCTTTAACGCGTTTTCGCTGAACTGGCAATTTTCGCGGAACCTATCACTCTCGTTAAGCGAGACGCGTCTGTGAAGTGCTAAACGGGCAGCACGCGACAAAAGAGCAAATGCAGGAGGCGCTACTCAAGCAGTGGACAGGAGCGATATGAAGCTGACGATAAAGTATTGTCATTTTTAAACAAAGATGACCATGCCACAAACACACACAATGCTAAATGTGTTTTTAACTGCGATTCCATAGATATGCTGTGTCAGTTGTAGGCATGTAACAATTGGTAAACTTAAATCATATCTAAATTAAAAGCTGAAAAACTAATTTCTTTAGAACTGCTTTTTGTGTTCATTTTGTTGTCCATCCTGCACACCTCTGATTAGCACGATCGGGTACGTACGGTGCGAAAGAAGTTCAAGATACCTACATTACGTTCATGCTACACACATTGAAATCTTGCGTGGAAGAGCCGGTTTCATCGTATTTACACAAATTATGAAGAACAAAAAAGTTACCTTCGGCTTAATGGCATGGACGAGACCTAACGAACCTGATAAAGAACACGGGAGAGACAGTGCGGTACAAATGTACAAGCGGGATAACAGAGGAAGATTCCTAAATCGAATCGTGAAACCCTGAATCGTGACAACCTATGGAATCGCCGGCGTGCGGAGCAGGGGGTGGGGGTGGGTAAATCGTTACATGCCTAGACAGCCATGCGCCAGAGACCCACGGCGCGCTGTCCCGCCGGTGCCCGGGCCTCAGTGGAAGACCGTCTGGCGCCACCGATTGTCGTCCAGGAACGGCCACAGGCACTCGTGGATGCCCTGGCGGAACGGCGTGCGCTGCCCAACGCCCAGGCTCTCGAGCAGAGACGTGTCGAGCTGAGCGTTGTGCGGACGGGACGCCCCGGACGGAGGCTCCTCCACCTGCGGGTCGACGGGGCACGGTAGGGCTCACGGGGGCGTTCACGCGCTCACGCTCTCGCCGCTGCCAGGTGGCGCGCGCGGAGAAAGATCCGCGCCCGTATTACGGGGTGCATCGCGGTCGCCCTACCCCGCCCCGAGCTCAACTTCTATCAGAACCTCATCGATCACTTTCAATCACTTTGAGTTAAGTTGCTTCCGCAAGCAGATGCTTTTAATTCGGTCGGATTTTACACATGCATGCGTGTCATTATATGAACGACAAATAAGGTTGATATTTTATCTCAGTCAACCCATGGCACCTGCGTCTGTCCCGCGACTTTCTGCCAGAGGGGCGTTCCGACACTTCACGTGGCCTTAAAGTGCACGTAGCCTGGCACAAGCGCCGTGGTGACGTCACCGCCACTTAGTGGCGAATGGCGTCTGTTGTTGTATATTTAACGGAAATTAACATGTGCGAGCACATGTTGTTTTTACAAAATCGCAATGTAATAATTCCCATTTTAGGCTATACATCAATAAAGGGGAGAATGTGCTGGATGCCCAAAGTTGTCGTGCCCGCACTAAGGCACAAGGTAAGTGAATAACACTACCACTAATAATCATCACTAGTAACAACCAGTGTATTATAGAACTATTGGCCACTGTAAGTTGCCTAGGTTACACCAGATCAATCTTGATTTGAAGCTTTCGTGACTGCAGGAATCCATACTCTTTGGTTCTTTCGGTAAAGTCACGTAGGTGAAAAAATAATAGATCACGACGTTTCGATCGCAACACAAGCAAATCGTCATCAGGTGGGGCAACCACAGACGAGAGATCTGGCGTGGCACGAGGTTATATAGGCCACCTCGTGCCACGGCAGATCTATCGCTTACTTCAGCAGTTCTTTCTTGCTGTGGTTGTCCCACCTGATGACGATTGCTTGTGTTGCGATCGAAACGTCGTGATCTATTATTTTCCTACACCAGATCAAGTTGAGGATACACACAATTCAGTGTTAAATGCCAACCTAAAGCAGCTTTTAATTCTAGATTTGAAGCTTTCGAGACTGCAAGGATTCATATTCTTAGGTTTTTTCGGTAAAGTCACGTAGGTAAAACATCAAAATTAATTAAAATAAAATTAAACTAAAATCACGACGTTTCGGAGGCAATACAAGTCTCCGTCATCAGGTGGGACCGTCACAGCCGGATTAGCCGCACTTGATGCAGCTAATCCGGCTGTGACGGTCCCACCTGATGACGGAGACTTGTGTTGCCTCCGAAACGTCGTGATTTTTATTTTATTTTATTTTTATTAATTTTGATGTTTTACCTACGTGACTTTACCGAAAAAACCTAAGAATACTAAAGCAGCTTATCGAAGGATCCCAAGCGTAAAGGGAGATACATCCCAAGCTGTCCTACTCGGCTGCCCTTGTTATTGTGCAGCCTCCATACTCTCCGTTTCGACCACGTCCTTACTTGCCAGGAGACACAACACCCTCTGCGTCACGAAGAACGCGATTGGAACGGATTTAGTTTTCCCCCTCCCCCCAACAGGCACGCTCAAAGTCACGCTTCTTACCGGTCTCAGGTGGCTGCTCGGCAGATTGAAGGCATCGGCCATGGCACACGCCATCTCGTACTTAGTCATCTTTTCATTCCCCGACCAGTGGTAAATGCCCCTGATGGCGGCGGGGTCCTGCAGCAATGGGCACATAAAGCAGGAGGATCGGTCAGTTAAAGCGGCGAGGTGGCTGGCGACAATCTGTAAAAGAAAACGTTAACGGCAAAACAGGCCGTCGTACACCTGCCATCAAAATCATTGACGTAATCGCACACACACAAGTCGAGTCAATGAGCTTAGCGTTAAAGTCTAATCATCAAAAACAAATTAAGCTTCAAACTCGTGTTGGAGACAGCCCGGGAACTCACAACCCAAGTACGTATCGACAAGATAAGAGCTCTGTGGATTTTTGTATGCACTTTCCTGCAAAGGCCAGAACAGTGGGGTCAGAACAGTGGGGTCAGAACAGTGGGGTAGAGTCTGGCACCACCGCTGGCCCCCTATCTTGTACCCTCCGCCATCCCCTGGTCACCCCACACCCCCACCCCTCCCCTTGGTCACCCCACACCCCCACCCCCAGAGGTCGCAAACGGGTTTTGATTCCTTACCCGTACCCGGCCGCACCAGGGTCGCAAACGACTACCCGTACCCGTACCCGGCCGGGTACGGGTAGCCGGGTATCGGGTAGGGTACGGGTATCGGGTACCCGGTTGCGACCTCTGCCCACCCCCACCGAAGCGACGCCACCAGCACCTGCAGGTGCAGCTCGGTCAGCTGGCGGCACACGAGGGCGACGTCGCGCGTGTGCGTCGGGTAGCGCTGCTGCCAGTGCTCCAAGTCGGCCGACTTGTTGGCGTGCTGCACGCGGTCGAACATCACGGACACGGCGCTCTCCGCCAGGGTCTCGACGGCGCCGTACAGCACCGGCACGCGCAGCACCGCCGCGGCTGCCGTGTGCACGCACGCATACACGCACGCACGCACACACGCACGCACACACGCACGCACACACGCACGCACACACGCGCACACGCGCACGCACGGACACACACGCACACATGCACGCACGCACACACGCGCGCACGCACGCACACACGCACGCACACACGCACACACGCACACACGCACACACGCACGCACGCACACACGCACGCACACACGCACGCAGGGCATTCAATTAATCGTTGCAAATCTGGGTCCCTTATTGATTGAATAAATTTCGATTTAAAGCTTTCGTGACTGCAGGGATTCATCTTCTTGGTTCTTTCGGTAACGTCACATAGAATGGAAATAATAAAATAATAAAACGTAATAAAATACAATTGTCACGACGTTTCGGCTGCTTGCGTTGTGGCCGAAACGTCGTGAGAATTGTATTTTATTATGTTTTATTTTTATTCTTTTACCGAAAGAACCAAGAAGATTCAATAATTGTTCGGCTTGATTGTATTGTCCGTTTCCATTGCGTCGTCTGTTTTTCTTGTTCGTTCTCATGCTCGCACTGTCTCGTGTCCCGTCTCCTTTGTTTCGTCTTCCTTATTTGTACTTTCTTTCATTCCGTACCCTCAGTTACATCCGCTTCATCTCTAGAATCTGTGCAAATTGTACTGCGTGTACTGTTCGTCGTAACAGCACCTTTGAGACGTCTTGCAAGCACGTTCTCGTTTGTTCTGTACGTCTCGTTTGTTTTGTACGTCTCGTTTGTTAGTTGTGTCTTTAAGGACCCTGTCGTCGTTCTCTGCAATGTTGACGTTCTTGTCTTTTGTTTAATGTCGTTGTTGTGCTCACGCAGCACCACGGATCAAACTCGTACAATGGTCGGGCAACTGGCTAAATGGAACCATCTGTGTAGCAAATCAAATAAACTCAAGCTCTATTGTCTAACTCATTATTTCTGTGCATTTTTTAAAATAAACATTAACCTCAAGAAACTTTGCATCACATACACAAAAACCCTAATTATTGTTGCACGCAACATTCCATGCGAATTATAAAAGATGCAATGGCCAAGTTATTATTTATATATTTTAATCTTTTCCCCACATTTTTTCTCTCGATAAAGTTATCGGTCATCAAGTCACGGGGCGAAGAACCCCCTGAGACCTCTCGCACAGCGGTGGAGACCTCCACACTGACAAAAATCGACCCCTGGAAGTGACCATCACAGAACTGCCACCACCGAGATCCCTTCCGATCCATGCCTGTTCAATCGCCGCTGAATCTCCGAACAACTAAGCGAGTGGGGGGCTGCGTGAAGCCACGGGGAAGGGGAGGGATACGTGTGGAGGTGGAGGGGGGGGAGCGGGGTAGAGTTCATGCGTGGTGGGGGGGGGGGGGGGTACACACACCGGGGTGTTCGCGCAGCGTCGCCTGCTCGCCCTCCAGCTTGCTGCGCCCGTACGCGCTGAGCGGCCGTGGCTCGGCGCTCTCGCTGTAGGGGGGGCTGCTGCCGTCGAACACGTAGTCCGTGCTGATGTAGATCAGGAAGCCGCCTACCTGGGCTGCACGTTAACGAGACGGGGTGCGGGAGGGGGTGGAGACGTTAGTGTTATCGGTGACACGACGGAGCGTGAAGGAGGTGACTGCCACGGTGGCTAGGAGATGTTGACGACCTCGCCTGGTGTGCAGGAGGTCGTGGGTTCGATCCCGACCTTGACGCCTGCTGTATATTTGGAGTTTGCGTCTCTCTCTCTCATCATCATCACGGTGGCTAGGAGATATTAACTACCTCGCCTGGTATGCAGGAGGTCGTAGGTTCGATCCCAACCCTGACGCCTGCTGTATACACTATTTGGAGTTTACGGTGTCTCTCCCCCCGTGGTCGCCTGGATTTTTTTCCGGGTCCTCCGGTTTTTCCCTCCACATTTAGAATCAACGTCACGCGTTTAGAGTATTTGGTTGCTATAAATTCCCCCGCGGTGATACGCCACTTCGTTGAGCTACCATTTGTTATAGCCAGGTCGCTTCTCAGTGGGGCCTTGCCTGGTAAAATAAAAGACAGTTTTAGCTTATAGGGTGGGTGGGTGGGTGGGGTAGGGGTGCGGTGAGAAGAGTCTCGTGGGTGAACGTCACACCGGTCTCCCGCGCGAGCGTGGCGGACGCGACCACGTTGAGGAGGTGAGCGGAATGCGGCTCGTTCTCCACCACGTCCGGCCTGCGCTCCGCCGCGCAGTGGACGACCACGTGAGGCTGCCGCGCACACACACACACGAGCACGCGCGCGTACGTATCATCATCATCATCATCACCATCACCCTCGGACATGATCCATCCACTGCTGGATGAAGGCGAATCGCCAACCCTCACCGTCGAGTGATGCGACAATGCACCTTGCTCCTGCGCGTGAGCGGACCTCGTCGTTTCATCTCCGCGGTGGGCGACCTCTCGGGCGTGTTTCCCTCCTTTAGCTGCCACTCCATCGTCGGTCTCGACCATCGGTCTTCGTCCCTTCTAATGCCCTTCCCTGGCCCCCTTAATTTTTTTTAACAGTTAATGTGACGTCTCCCGCTTGCCGTATTCCCACCACCCTGCCAGCTTGCAGCCGAGCATGCGGAGTGTCTCACAGCACAAAATAGGATCCGCACGATCGGCTTTAGGCCAGCGTTTAAAGTGCTGGCTTACAGGTGTGCACCTCCAAGCCTGGTTGACTGATGCTCCTATGCACACTGATTAAATCAAATAACTTTCTTCCCGTAGTTAAGTTCCTTCTTTATCACTACCAGTGATACCTTCACTAATGGTACAAGCTCATTCTACCACAATGTTTACTCCCATTGATTCTGTGTTAATCCATCATATCGTAGGAGAAAAAAAATCCCTTTTCCTTACATTCCTCGACTTTGTAACTCCATCCAATCACCTATTTTCCCAAATTCCTATGACTTCGCTCAATTCAAGAAACACGGTACGGTAATTTGTATCTGCTTACCTATAACCGAGGGGCAGAGGTCGCAACCGGGTACCTGATACCCGTACCCTACCCGATACCCGGCTACCCGTACCCGGCCGGGTACGGGTACGGGTACCCGTTTGCGACCCTGGTGCGGCCGGGTACGGGTAGACCGTGAGTCACTGGTGAGTAACTGTCACTCATTTCCCAACGTCTTGTCTCTTCTTACAATTCAAGTTCCTAGAATCAACCCACCCACGCCTGCAACATGGCTTCATCCCAGAGGTCGCAATCAGGTACCCGATACCCGTACCCTACCCGTACCCGGCCGGGTGCGGATAGGGTACGGGTACGGCCGGGTACGGGTACCCGTTTTCGACCCTGGTGCGGCCGGGTACGGGTAAGGAATCAAAACCCGTTTGCGACCTCTGCCGAGGGGGTATGGTGCGGCGGTGGCGCAGTGGACAGTGGACTACGACGTGAACCCAGCAAGCCAACGTCCATCCTTGGCCAGGGCCAACATCAACATGGCGAGGGAAAGCTGGCCAGGCCCACTGGGCTCGCCCCTTCACAGCAACCCACACTCTGCCCAGCATGGCAACGTGCGGACAAAACAAATCCCATGACCAACACAGTACGGGGAGGCCTTCCATCCATTACAGGCAAACAATACGGCTGAATATTATGATGATATACAGCCGTTTGAGATGTTAACTACCTCGCCTAGTATACAGGAGGTCGTGGGTTCGATCCCGACCGTGACACCTGCTGTTTATTTGGTGTTTGAGTGTCTCTCTTTCTGGTTGCGGAGATTTTTCTCCCTCCGGTTTTTGAATCAACATGCATAGAAAATATGTTGCGATATATTTCCACGCAATGAGCCACTTCATTGAGCTATCATTTGTGATAGTGTATAAATAATGATCATATAGCTCAATGGGCATTTCCTAGTACAACATATAATAGTAGTATCGTATTAATAACTATTATTATTGAACTGTCATTACTATCACAGCATTCGTTTGCTAGCCGCTTTATAAATTTAACACGTAGGTTTTCGCGACCAATATTATTCATAATAAGAGTTCATTGTAATTATCAGCGAAACGTCGTACTCAAATTGTAAACGTTGTGGGTTAACTCTCCAACACAATGGTGTGCTGAAGTAGTAACTAATTGCCATAATTTGTTTACTTGACAAACCTTACATTTTGACTTTGATACCCCCCCCCCGATCACCTACACATTCCACAAGTAGTGACTAATCCCATATCTGCATTTTCCATAAATATGCTAAATCCCTCTGTTGATATGCAAATTCCTTTGTCAAGGCGCCCTCCTCCTCTAACCCAGCTTAAATATACGCTGCCAAGCTTGGTGGTGTTCATTCAGACGCTGTCTTTCCGACAGACCTGTTCTTCACCTGAGGACGGCTGCTTGCGTTGTGGCCGAAACGTCGTGAGAATTGTATTTTATTATGTTTTATTTCTATTAATTTATTATTTCCCTTCTACGTGACTTTACCGAAAGAACCAAGAAGTTGACAAACCTTACTAATCGGTTGTATCGGGTGGTGCTGGGTTAGCGACACATTTATATTTACGCCATCCAACCCAAAATAACTTCCATTAAGAATAACCACTTTGCGTCACGGCCCTTTTGGATTCGGTGCTCGGCAACCGTGCGGCGACGGACCTTGAAGTCCTGGACGAGGTTGCGCACCGCCGCGTCGTCGCACAGGTCCAACGGGAGGTGGTGCGGGCGAGCCCGGCGTAGCCCCGTGCCCAGCGGCAGCCAGCCGTTGTTGAGGAACTCCTGGTGGACGGCGCGGCCCAGCATGCCCGTGGCGCCCGTCACCAGCACGCGCCGCTCACGCACGCTCTCCTCCCCCTGCCGGGACGGACACACGCACACGCACACGTACGCGCGCGGTCGTGCGTCGCTCCGGACGTCAGCTGCTAAGCCGGACAGAGCTTTGTCCTCAGATCAGTGCCCCGTCAGGAATAGTCAGGTGTGGGGCTGCGAGGAATGAAGGATGCCACTAAGCAGTTGGAGGCAGTGACTTGCTTGCCATTTTCTCTATTTTGCACTCCGATAATTTTTTGTTGTTGTAACTTTCTTGTTGTTGTTGTTTGACTTGCATCCCACTGGGATTTTTGCACACAGCGTTGGTGTACGGTGTTTTTTCTGCAATATTTTGCTGTCTTTTCTTGAATATTCTGTTTGCACTTAGTCACATATTCACTTTAAGATGTTTTTTGTTCATGTTTTTGTTTTTTGTTTGTTGCGGTTGCACCCGATTCAAGAGCCAAATGGCTCACAGGGCTATACCTAATAAATGAATTTGAACTTGAACTTGAACCCGCCGATGCTGAACATCTGTAAAGAAGAGCTTCGGAGCTTATCAGATAGTCTAAATAAAGATTTTGATCCTCATGTACCTGCGCTGGGTTCCTCAGCTGTTGTTGTCCAGCGGGTCACGTAGTAAATCTAACGCTTGCTGGCAGGGCATGCTTTTGACTAGCTATCCAACAAAGATGGTCACCACATCGCGCGCCACTGGAGCTATGCACAACAAACATATAGATTGAAAACTCATTTCTTTAAGAGTGCCTTTTTGTGGTTTAGTTTGTTGTCCTTCCCCCGCACCTCCGATAATCACTGCCGGCTACGTATGGTGCGAAGGAAGATTAACATACACATGCGATGTCGCGAAATATCTTCACATCGTAGTGTCAAGTGTACAGAACATTATGATTTAAATGGTGTTGTGACATCACCACGTCTTCATACGTCACTGCTAATCTGTTACCTCCTGTCTCCAGGAGCCCGGGTGCAAAAAAATTGTGTAAAACCTATCAGGCAGTGAATTGCATCGGCTCCGAAAATATGCACGGAGTGAAATTCTCAGTGTCTGTGCAAATTTGAACACTCGTCAGTGGTTGCTATGGATTACATCATCACTCCCGTTACACCAGCCAATCAGCTGCCAGGAAAACAATCCTCACGCAACATGGCGACCGTGTTGCATCAGGACTTGCGCAACATGGCTGCCGTGACGTCATCGCTCCATGAGCTTAAGGTGACCTAAGTCGCATATTTATATTATTCATGTAATTTAAACTCGAGTGTAATTTTGCGTGCAATGATTTGTGCAAAGCGTGTGAGAGGGCATCTATGTCACTGTTTGAGTGTGTTACTTTGAGTGGGAATGTCTTTATGTGTGACAGTGGTTTTTGTGTTTTCTTATTATTTATGTACTAGCCTTGATAGGTGCTCGCTAACAGTATTTTGAAAGGCTATATGGAGGATCTGTTTAGTTTATTTGTGACAGTGCGTGTTCGTGTGGGGCGAGTATTTGTATTCGATTGTGCATGTGTGTGTTTGTGCTTTGAGTGTATAGGTGTGTATTTGTAATAGTATGTGGATGTATGGCTGTACCTCTGTATGTGTATTTGTTAAAGTGTGTGCAGAGCAGTAGCGTCGCAGTTAGCACGCTATGCCAAGAACCCAGCGACTGGAGTTCGATTCCCACTCGCAGCCAACACCAGTGACTATCTGAACCGGTCCTGGGCCTCCCCTAGGTAGGCTCAGCCTCAAATGAGTACCTGGTGCAGTGTGTAGAAAACATTGCCACTGGGGAGACAAGGATGGTCAGGCGTGGTGTTGGACATTCACCCCCTCATGTATCATGTCGGCCTTATTAGATCCTCGCTAACAGCATTTGCCCCAACAGTCTGTTCAGGCTATACGGGAGATCTTTGTCTTTGGACGTGAGTGATGGCTGACTCACTGGTCTCATGGAAATGTATGCAATCCTCTTGCGTAATTCTCGTAGGGACTAGGAAATTGGGACGAATCTTTGGTTACATATTTGATAGAATTGTGTAAGACGTCCAGGTCGTCTCTCATCTCTCTTATTTATCTTTTGATTTTATGAATGTCTATCCCTTAAGGTCTCAGTGAGCCGTAACTCTCGGCATATCATAGCTTCGTGGGGGGGGGGAGGTACTCCTACAACCTTTTTGAGCCAGATATGGCCCATGACAGCTGGCTGAAGAACTCTGCATTGTTGCTTTGTGTTGATCAAACGAAAAATTCCAAGTGGTTTTATGCCCAACTCTTGTACAAAGCCAAGCGGTGGGACCTCCTTATTCGTATCCTGGGGAAGAGACAACTGACATGAAAATTACTGCTGACGTTTTATTGACTCTGAAGGTTTAAAAGGCTGCCCTCTCACCCCAGAGTGGAATTTGTACTCGCAACAATACGATTGTGAGTGCACGGCCATTCCACATTCTCTTCACAGGCACACACATTTATCAAGATCGCGCACGCAATGCCGTAGACACCACGACACACGCCGATTGTTCTTCCTTCTGCCAGATCCTAACAACGTTTGCCCTGTCTTAGTTCTGCTTTTAAATGTCTTATTACTTACAAACCGGACGTATGAGTCACTGCAATGCCAGTCTCAGTAACCTCACAACCACCTCCATATCCTGTGCGCGTGCCCCACCCGTCACAACCTGCTTCCTGAACACGTCCACGATTCATCTTCTTGGTTCTTTCGGTAAAGTCACGTAGAAGGGAAGTAATAAAATAATAAAATAAAACATAATAAAAAATAATTCTCACGACGTTTCGGCCACAACGCAAGCAGCCGTCCTCAGGTGACGCTGTCTCCCCGACAGACCTGGTTTTCACCTGAGGACGGCTGCTTGCGTTGTGGCCGAACCGTCTTGAGAATTATTTTTTATTATGTTTTATTTTTATTATTTTATTACTTCCCTTCTACGTGACTTTACCGAAAGAACCAAGAAGATGAATCCCTGCAGTCAAGAAAGCTTTAAATCGAAACGTCCATGATTATTTCATGTCACGTTCAAGTATGGACTTTCAAGTGGCTTACCAAACCATACCCATGCCATGAAATACATCGCATGCTCAGCCAGCATTGCACGTGTATTCGACAGGCAGATGTCTCGCTTGCAATGGGTCGGCTTCTCTTGAGCTACACAAGAGTCTGTAGCAACACAAACTTTACTTCTGCCTCGAACACCCCCGTGTTCTGCCAACACTAGAGGTGACAACTAAACGTACACAACTGTAAACGTTTTACACCACCGATATGATACAAACAGGAACACCTGTACTCATACCTGTCAACCCCTTATCAGTGCTACTTATTACAGACCAATTTAGACCTTATTGGTCACGCCGTGCCACTTATAAATCTCAACGTTAATTCTACAAAGTCCCATTACAAGGGAGACACACAAAGAGAGGGCATTCTTTTACCCGTATTGAAAACTCAACTTCCCTGTACAACGAATACGATTACGAAGTAAACCGTATGGGCTAACAGTTGTGTCCTGTGCAATTATCGCAATGACAACGAAAGCTAACCGTTAAATAATACAACATGCGGTCAATTATAACGTGATGTATAGAATAGTAAATGCAATAAAATACACTCTTAAACTTCACGTAGAGGTGATATCCTATTTAGGTTTTTTTTTTAAACGTATCGATGTTAAAATATGAGCAGTAACATAAACACGTGTTACTGAACACAGTGAAGACATCGTATTCACCCCGAACACGATGAACATCAACTCACAGTGACCCAACAGGATCGTGAATTCATAACAGCCAGCAAAAAATCATCTATTTATGGGACGTCAAATGCTTTAAATCTTGTCCATTAAGCACGGTGGGCTACCTACAATGCGGAAAAATCCCAACACACACGGACACATTTGGCAAAAGCCGAACGCACGACATATACAGTATTCATATATGAATGAATAATAATTCAACTTTATAACCATTCAAGCTGCGCTGTGTGAAGATATTGTGCCAGTTACAAACAGCACTGTTAGTCGTGTCAATTAGGAGGGCGTGGAAGCGTCTTGTAACTGAACCCAACACGGAAAACGTCAAATCACCCACAGCAAGCGGACAAGCTGCGGCATCTAAAACATTAATCCCGAGTATGGCCAGCATTTAGTAACGAATTGCGTTGAATTAAGAGTTACACGGCGTTAAATATCGTGGGGGGCACGATTGCGGGCGTGCACTGCAAGGCAAAGCCAACGAATCTCCCTGCGTAGCATGAACAGGCTGTCTGGGGCAAGTGTCGTTAGCTACAAGCCTCACCTGGTACACACTCTGTGCTACAAGCCTCACCTTGACTCTGTGCTACAAACCTCACCTGGTACAGACTCTGTGCCACAAGCCTCACCTGGTACAGACTCTGTGTTACAAACCTCACCTGGTACAGACTCTGTACCACAAGCCTCACCTGGTACAGACTCTGTACCACAAGCCTCACCTTGTACACAGACTCTGTGCCACAAACCTCACCTGGTACAGACTCTGTGCTACAAACCTCACCTGGCCCACACTCTGTGCCACAAGCCTCACCTGGTACACACTCTGTGCCACAAGCCTCACCTGGTACACACTCTGTGCCACAAGCCTCACCTGGTACACACTCTGTGCCACAAGCCTCACCTGGTACACACTCTGTGTTACAAGCCTCACCTGGTACAGAGTCTGTGCCACAAGCCTCACCTGGTACAGACTCTGTGCCACAAGCCTCACCTGGTACAGACTCTGTGCTACAAACCTCACCTGGTACAGACTCTGTGCTACAAACCTCACCTGGTACAGACTCTGTACCACAAACCTCACCTGGTACAGACTCTGTGCCACAAGCCTCACCTGGTACAGACTCTGTGCTACAAGCCTCACCTGGTACAGACTCTGTGCCACAAGCCTCACCTGGTACAGACTCTGTGCCACAAGCCTCACCTGGTACAGACTCTGTGCCACAAACCTCACCTGGTACAGACTCTGTGCCACAAGCCTCACCTTGACTCTGTGCCACAAGCCTCACCTGGTACAGACTCTGTGCTACAAGCCTCACCTGGTACAGACTCTGTGCCACAAGCCTCACCTGGTACAGACTCTGTGCCACAAGCCTCACCTGATACAGACTCTGTGCCACAAACCTCACCTGGTACAGACTCTGTGCTACAAGCCTCACCTGGTACACACTCTGTGCTACAAGCCTCACCTGGTACACACTCTGTGCTACAAGCCTCACCTGGTACAGACTCTGTGCCACAAGCCTCACCTGGTACACACTCTGTGCCACAAGCCTCACCTGGTACACACTCTGTGCCACAAACCTCACCTGGTACACACTCTGTGCCACAAACCTCACCTGGTACACACTCTGTGCCACAAGTCTCACCTGGTACAGACTCTGTGCTACAAACCTCACCTGGTACAGACTCTGTGCTACAAGCCTCACCTGGTACAGACTCTGTGCCACAAGTCTCACCTGGTACAGACTCTGTGCTACAAACCTCACCTGGTACACACTCTGTGCTACAAACCTCACCTGGTACACACTCTGTGCTACAAACCTCACCTGGTACAGACTCTGTGTTACAAGCCTCACCTAGTACAGACTCTGTGTTACAAGTCTCACCTGGTACAGAGTCTGTGCTACAAGTCTCACCTGGTACAGACTCTGTGCCACAAGCCTCACCTGGTACACACTCTGTGCTACAAACCTCACCTGGTACACACTCTGTGCTACAAGTCTCACCTGGTACACACTCTGTGCTACAAGCCTCACCTGGTACACACTCTGTGCCACAAGCCTCACCTGGTACACACTCTGTGCTACAAACCTCACCTGGTACACACTCTGTGCTACAAGTCTCACCTGGTACACACTCTGTGCTACAAGCCTCACCTGGTACACACTCTGTGCTACAAGCCTCACCTGGTACAGACTCTGTGCCACAAGCCTCATCTGGTACACACTCTGTTACAAACCTCACCTGGTACACACTCTGTGCCACAAGCCTCACCTGGTACAGACTCTGTGCCACAAGCCTCACCTGGTACACACTCTGTGCTACAAACCTCACCTGGTACAGACTCTGTGCCACAAGCCTCACCTGGTACAGACTCTGTGCCACAAGCCTCACCTGGTACAGACTCTGTGCTACAAACCTCACCTGGTACACACTCTGTGCTACAAACCTCACCTGGTACAGACCTCTGTGCTACAAGCCTCACCTGGTACACACTCTGTGCTACAAGCCTCACCTGGTACACACTCTGTGCTACAAGCCTCATCTGGTACACACTCTGTGCTACAAGCCTCATCTGGTACACACTCTGTGCTACAAGCCTCACCTGGTACAGACTCTGTGCTACAAGCCTCACCTGGTACACACTCTGTGCTACAAGTCTCACCTGGTACACACTCTGTGCTACAAGCCTCACCTTGACTCTGTGCTACAAGCCTCACCTGGTACACACTCTGTGCCACAAGCCTCACCTGGTACACACTCTGTGCTACAAGTCTCACCTGGTACACACTCTGTGCTACAAGCCTCACCTGGTACAGACTCTGTGCCACAACCCTCACCTGGTACACACTCTGTGCTACAAGCCTCACCTAGTACACACTCTGTGCCACAAGCCTCACCTGGTACAGACTCTGTGCTACAAGCCTCACATAGCACAGACTCTGTGCTACAAGCCTCACCTGGTACACACTCTGTGCTACAAGCCTCACCTGGTACACACTCTGTGCTACAAGTCTCACCTGGTACACACTCTGTGTTACAAGCCTCACCTGGTACAGACTCTGTGCTACAAGCCTCACCTTGCATAGTTCAACGTGACCGGGGCTGTAGCGAATGTTGAGGCCTCTCTCCAGCCCGTACGACTGCATCTCTCTTTCTCTCCGCGTGCGTGTGATGGTTTAGATAACAAGGATTCTTAATCTTTTCCACCACCACGGTTTTAAAAATGTAAATTTAAACCCGAAAACGTTGCCTCGATCGCGACAACAACAAACAACAACAGCCCGTGGTGGTGGTGGTGTGGTGGTGGTATGGGTGGCGTTCAATTTCCATAGACCGCTTCGGCCGCGCGCGACTCTGATTGGTCCGCCGCGAGTGCCTCGCGCGATGATCGCGCTTCCCGATTGGCTGACGCGCGAGCGCGAGGACCAATCGGAGAGCCGCTGAGCGTGCCGGTGCCTTGTGCGTTGTACGGAATGCAAACGGGGCAGTGGTAACCCGGAAGTGAACGATGTTGACGTTTTGAGGTCCTTTAAACGTCAAACGCTGCACTGGGTAATGGAGTGAGAGGCCTTTAAAAATATATAAAAATAAATGTTTATGTTGGACAGGATGTTATATTTAAAATATGTGCGGTAACTTATGGGTGCCTATGGATTTTTAAAAATATTTTGGATAAAAAAAATGTTTTTTTTGTGTTTGTGCCGTACTGTTTGTGCATTGTCATAAGTGTTTGTGATGGATTATTGGGTGTCTATGCCAAGCGTAGTTTGTTTATTCTGACTTTCGTACGCATAGCCGTAGTGATCATAGCTGTCGTGATTATAACTGTAGTGATCACAGTTGTAGTGATCGTAGCTGTCAACCTACACGATCTACCCGTATTCTTGTAGAGGGAAATGTAGTTTCCAAGTCCATACGGCGTGTAGCCGTTTCAATACGGGCAAAAAATATCTATATCACGACCCACGGTGGACACGACCCACAGTGGTGTCTGGCGGTGTTGGTGGTGGTGGTGACGGTGGTGGTGGTGGCGGTGGTGTTGGTGGTGGTGGTGATGGTGGTGACGGTGGTGTCTGGCGGTGTTGATGGTGGTAGTGACTGTGGTGGTGGTGACGGTGGTGGTGGTGACGGCGGTGGTGGTTGGTGTTGGTGGTGGTGATGGTGGTGGTTGGTGGTGACGGTGGTGGTGTTGGTGGTGATGGTGGTGGCGACGGTGGTGGTGTTGGTGGTGGTGGTGGTGTTGGTGGTGGTGACGGTGGTGGTGGTGTTGGTGGTGATGGTGGTGGCGACGGTGGTGGTGTTGGTGGTGGTGTGTTGGTGGTGGTGGTGACGGTGGTGGTGTTGGTGGTGGTGACGGTGGTGGTGTTGGTGGTGGCGACGGTGGTGGTGTGGTGGTGGTGGTGGTGTTGGTGGTGGTGACGGTGGTGGTGGTGTTGGTGGTGATGGTGGTGGCGACGGTGGTGGTGTTGGTGGTGGCGACGGTGGTGGTGTTGGTGGTGGTGGTGACGGTGGTGGTGTTGGTGGTGGTGACGGTGGTGGTGGTGTTGGTGGTGGTGGTGACGGTGGTGGTGACCGTGGTGGGTGGTGGTGTTGGGTCGATTTTGTGACCGGCAACTTTGAGAACTCCGCTGCAACGCCCCGGGATTGTGGCAGGGGGCACCAAACGGCCACGAATTTCACTTCGGAAACGCCACGAAAAATGTGGCCCACCACCACCACCACGACCACCACCACCCCCACCACGACCACCACCACCACCACCACCCCCACCACGACCACCACCACCACCCCCACCACGACCACCACCACCCCCACCACCACCACGACCACCACCACCACGACCCTCTCTGCTGCTGCCCTCTGCGTGTGACACGGAAGCGTTTAGAAGAAGGCGGTAGAGGAGTCGTGGAACCGCCAACAACAGATCGGTTTTATTTGTTTACCCTTTATACAAAGACACAATGTCGAGACTAAGAAGGTTGCCAGACTCGTCGTAATCCCACGGCAGTGTTTTAAGAGCCCCCTCTGTGTGTGTGCGTGTACTGTCCCAGCAAGTTGGCACAGTAGGGGGGCACAGGTGGTGCATCAGCCGGTCATCTCGGTCATCTCGGTCAGTCGACCCGTGGCACCTGCTGGGTCTGCCCCGTGACCTCCTCCTGCCAGCGGGCGTTCGACACTTCAGGTGGCAGCCTCAAGGTGCACATGGCCTGGCACAAGCGTCGTGGTGACGTCACCGCCACTTAGTGGCGAATGGCGGTTGTTGTTGTCTGTATGTGGCTAAAGCACAGCAAGTTGGCACAGTAGGGGGGCACAGGTGGTGCATCAGCCAGTCATCTCGGTCATCTCGGTCAGTCGACCCGTGGCACCTGCTGGGTCTACCCCGTGACCTCCTGCCAGCGGGCGTTCGACAACTTCACGTGGCAGCCTCAAGGTGCACTTGGCCTGGCACAAGCGTCGTGGTGACGTCACCGCCACCTAGTGGCGAATGGCGGTTGTTGTTGTTGTGTGAGAGACGTACGTGCTGTTTCACAACACAGGTAACTCACACACTGTTATACTGCCATCCTTTGTAACGCAGTGATGATCTTTCGATTTAAAGCTTTCGTGACTGCAGGGATTCATCTTCTTGGTTCTTTCGGTAAAGTCATCACGTAGAATGGAAATAATAACAAAATAATAAAAATAAAACATTAATCATTCAGACTCTGTCTCCTCGACAGACCTGTTCTCCACCTGCGGACGGCTGCTTGCGTTGTGGCCGAAACGTCGTGAGAATTATTTTATTATGTTTTATTTTTATTATTTCCATTCTACGTGACTTTACCGAAAGAACCAAGAAGACAGTGACGATCATTGTAGACATTGACTGCCCTTTGTACATCCTCTGGCCGGATGAACACATGTTCGTGCTGTGTCGGTCATGGGAGGATTGTTTGACTATACTTCACCACGCTGGTCCATGGGTACGCTAAACACAAGGACCGGTTCCGGATATATGACCGTGGCCCGAAATCCAACTCAGATTCGCGAGTTTGTCATCGATACATCCCTGTAACACGTATCCTTTATTAAATCCTTTATATTAAGTTCGCTTGCTTGCTTGCTTGCTTGCGTGCTTGCGTACGACCGTGCAAACCTTTCGGTCGTTTTTTAACCCACTCCCGTGATCAATCGAGCTGACATTTTGCACACAGACTCGTTGTGCGAGACAATTAATGTTCGTGAAAATTTTTTTCCAAAATTTACACTGTTTAGGGAAAACAATAAATATTTAATTACCAATTGTTTAATGCTGGCAGACAATCATCTGACCCATAGGTGGCAGCCATCTCAAGCCAGAGGATGTAGAGGACTCTAGCCGCCACGCATATAAAGGATTAGAGTGAAAAACTTTGTTTTTTACGGGTTATACTTATTACCCTACCATGATTGTATGTTGGTCTTGTGGAAAGTCTCATTGTGTAAGTTTTTTACGTTGCTCATAAGCGTTTAGAGTAGTCGATTACACTTCAAGCAACGTTGTTGTTTACTATACGTCTAAGGCTTCCACGTGTATGTTCGTCACCTTCGCCAGCCCTCCTTGACCAGCGTGGTGAAGTATACTCAAATAACCCCCACACACACACACCTAATGGGGAAGACCCTGAATCCAGCAGTGGATTGAACAAGGCCTGTCAGGTGTAGGTAAGCGCCACGTGGTGGTTACGAGGCATGTCGTCGTGAGAGTGAAGACGTCATTAGGGGCCGTCCATAAATGACGTCACTGCGATTTTGGACGAGTTTTGACCCCCCCCCACCCCCACTTCGTCACACGACGTCACAAAAGTCAGACCCCCCCTCAAATATGACGTCACAAAGCTCTGCCCCCCCCCCCCCCCAAAAAAATAAAACATGCTTAAAATCGCTTTAAACTATTGTCATTGTAGTGCGTAGTTCATGTGGCGCTACATTTTGATGTTGTAGGAGAAAACATAAAAGTCTAATTAAGTAGAACGTGTTGTCTATATTTTTTAAAGTTGCGCATTTTTATGTGACGTCACATTTCACCCCCCCCCCCCCCTCGTCACAAATGTCTGACCCCCCCTAGGTGCGTGACGTCATTTATGGACGGCCCCTTAGCTGTCAATCCTAGTCAGTGCCCTACCTTATCTTATTTTTGCCCATATTGAAACGGCTGCACGCCTAATACGGACCTGAAAACTCAAATTTCCCTGTACAAAACAGGGAGTACACCGTGTGGGTTGACATTATGAGATGTTTCTAGATTTGAAGTTTTCGTGACTGCAAGGATTCATACTCTTTGGTTCTTTCGGTAAAGTCACGTGGGTAAAAAATAAAATAAAGAGATAAAAATAGAAATAAGAATACGTTAATAAAGTAAATCAAATCACGACGTTTCGATGTGAACACAAGCAATCATCATCAGGTGTGAAAATTACAGCTAGAAAAAACATTTTCTGTGATTTCACACCTGATGATTGCTTGTGTTCCAATCGAAACGTCGTAATTTAATTTACTTTTTATTTAGTTCATCTCTTATTTTTATTTTATGTTTTACCTACGTGACCTTTACCGAAAGAACCAAATAGTATAGCTATGAGATTCACGTATTGTCATGCAAAGATGGGGAGGGAGAGGCATTTTGTCAAGAAGAGACAGTGGTGGAGACTCGCCGTGTAAGAATGGTGCCTGGTCCACGCAGGCGGCATGAGTGGGGCTCTGGGAAGCGTCTCGTCACTGTGGCACCACGTCCTTCGATGAGTGATTGAGACTGTCTCTTCTGATGGAGCCACGCACGTAAGTTCCACATCAGGGTTCGGTACGTACGGGGCGAAATAAGTTCGACTGTACGGGGACGAACGAGTTAGAGTCCAGAGGTCTGTTCGTAAGTCCAACTTTACCTTTCGATTTCAAACGTGTTGTACGGCATGTACATAGACAGGGAATGGCTTTAAAAGTTGCATAATCTCCTGTAGTGTAGATGCCACTGGTTCTTCACGTTCTGGAGATGTAGACGCCACTGGTTTCTTGACGTTCTGTAGATGTAGATGCCACTGGTTCTTCACATTCTGCAGATGTAGATGCCACTGGTCTTCACGTTCTGAGATGTAGATGCTACTGGTTCTTCACGTTCTGTAGATGGAGATGCCACTGGTTCTTCATGTTCTGCAGATGTAGATACCACTGGTTCTTCACGTTCTGCAGATGTAGATGCCACTGGTTCTTCACGTTCTGTAGATGTAGATGCCACTGGTTCTTCACGTTCTGTAGATGTAGATGCCACTGGTTCTTCACGTTCTGCAGATGTAGATGCCACTGGTTCTTTACGTTCTGCAGATGTAGATGCCACGGTTCATTACGTTCTGCAGATGTAGATGCCACTGGTTCTTCACGTTCTGCAGATGTAGATGCCACTGGTTCTTCACATTCTGCAGATGTAGATGCCACTGGTTCTTTACGTTCTGTAGATGTAGATGCCACTGGTTCTTCACATTCTGCAGATGTAGATGCCACTGGTTCTTCATGTTCTGCAGATGTAGATGCCACTGGTTCTTCACGTTCTGTAGATGTAGATGCCACTGGTTCTTCACGTTCTGCAGATGTAGATGCCACTGGTTCTTCACGTTCTGCAGATGTAGATGCCACTGGTTCTTGACGTTCTGCAAATGTAGATGCCACCACGACCATCTATTGCGCGGCGGTTAAAATTACGACTCTCGGTCTGAACAGGAAACTGGACATACGGACAGCTTTATTCTTATCGTAAGTCGCGTTTTCGCAAGTAGAGGAGTCCCTGTACATACACCATTGTATGCACACTACGACACGTGACATGTGCAGCTCGACCTTAAAATACCGGATAATATATTTTCGTATCAAGACCCCGTTATATCCATGTAGCCCATTTATAGCCGTGCAATGTTAATTAAATGTTAACTACGTTCCTCTTTACGTCGTCAAATATATCAAGTTCAAAGTTACGAAAAAAACAACCATTAAAACCATCAAAAATCACGAGCCCATTCTGGAACCCACATTTCAGTGCTGCAGTAGTTAGTGCGCGGCACGGCGCTGAACTGGGACTCCGCTGGTACGCGACGCTTCCGCGCAGCGTGGAGATGCAGCTAACAGCACGTCAGCAATGCTTTGCACGCTGTTAATATGTTGAGCTTTGGGAGTGTGATTCTTTTTCGTTAATGCAATTTTGAATATTTAGAGGTCCTGCCAAATATCCCTCCTGTTTTATATGGGACACTGCACATCCGGCCACGATATTTGAGAGGACACAACTGCATGGACGTATGTTGAACTTCTTTTGCGCCGTACGTAGCCAACCTTGCTAATCGGTGGTGCGGAGCAAGGACAACAACTAAACACAAAAATCAATTTGAGTTTTCAATCTAGATTTAAAAGTGCATAGCTCCAGCGGCTTCCTATTATCGGAAGGAAGAGCGTTCCAGGCGGCCGCAGAAGCGCATCCGAAAGGGCGCGTTGCGGTGACCGTCTCCGTTCAATGGCCAACCAAAAGCCGCTGCTGCTGCTACGAGGATTGACCGGAGGTCACGTGACGGTTTATGTTCCTTGACGAGACTGTGGTGCGGAATTTCCGCCACCGCCTGAAAATCGCCAAGAGGCACGCGCACGCGAGCACTTTCAAAGACACCGTACGTGTTCGGTACTGGGAGCACTCTGACCGCGACACTGTTGAATCGTCGTTGACCCCCCCCCCCCCCCCCCCCCCACTTGTGTCGGCAGGTGTTGAGGTCGCTGGGCTACT